TCAAGTTAGATCCAACTTCAAACTTAGATGAGATGCTGGGGGTCACATCCAGCTGAGTTCCAAGTAACCCCAATGACAGGGACCCCACCACCTCCTCTTCCCAACAGGAAACGTACAGCTGCCAGAAAAAGAAAGGCAAGACACAATCAGCTGAGATTTCTTTTATGAGAAGTCCTGCCCATTACTTTAACCAAAGAATGAACTAAAAACTTCCAGCACAAAAACACAGTCTTTAGTCTCTCACTGAAGTAAAAAAAAAAGTTTTAAAAGTGACAGAATTTCCTTATTCCTTGGCATTAGTAGAAATTCAAGGTAGAAAAGAGTAACAAACTTGTCAAGTTAATTTCCATTTTGGTGAAAGACCTTTTATATTCAGGTTTTATCTCAAGTGTCTCACAGGTTTTTTTTTCTTCTATTATCTTGCTGGGAGACTACTCTACAGCCTCCTACACCTCGCTGACTTTTTCTAGTCAATCTCATTTTCCAAATTTTCACCCCTTGACTCCCAATCAACAATTCTATAGAGTACTTTAATTATTAGCTTTCTTCCTTAGCTGTTTGTTGACTTTTATTCCTCTCACAAAGCCACTTTCAAACCAAGATTCAATTCAGAGAGGCAGAAAGTTCATAGTTCCTTCAGTCCCTGGATGACGACCATCTGTTGTGAGCAAGCATCAGTTTTTTTGTGCATAACAAAAGAACCACAGGTAAAGTGAAAGTGAGATTCTTATCAACAGCTCCTTAAGTACTTAAGATTGATGGGTACACCCAGAGACAGTTCACCTTTGCTCCATGACTTCACACCTCAGTGCACATGATCCAAAACTTTGCTGAGGTATCCTCACTGCTTATAAAACAACTATGAACTGTGCCACTCTCAGTAGCTTCACCATCCGTGCCTGTTGGTCTAGCTCATTTCTCTCTCTAGTACCTAAAATGCACTGGGTGTCCCATTTAACCAGAGAACCTGTGGACAAGTCCTGCAAAGCCAAGACAAAGATGTAGTTTCAACCTTGATAAGGGAAAGCTCAATGGCTGGATAATATCTCCACGGACCTATGAAAGGAAAAGTGATCGTACATGTGTCTACTTGCAGGTGCAGTTTGCTTAGTTAGGGTTGAATGGGCACTATACAGAAAATGGGAAAAGTGAAAGTGATGGGACTAAGACTCCAATTTTGGAGGGATGTATGTAAGGTGATGAACATGAGTGCACTAAAACTCAAAGGATATTCTGTGTGGGGCAGTAGAGTCATCTTTTTAAATACAGTTCTTTTTGACTTGGAGCATGGTGCATGAGCGACACTAGTGTCCTCTGGAGTGACTGACGCAGTAAGCACCAAGAGCAGAGTTCCACGTAGCCAACACATACTCTGACAGTTTAGACGTTATCATAAAAAGCCATAAAGGTGACTAGACTTGCCACGTACATTGACTGCTGACTCCAGAAGATTGCTAAGTAATGCAGACTGATGCCACAAGTACTGTATGCCACTTTCATGGTATTACATTCCTTTTAATATTACAGGCAAATCTCAGCTCAAGAACCTTCCTTGTGACTCCTCAGCTAGATGGAAAAGGTTACACTTTTCGCAAAGTCATGTGAGTTGGAGAGCACTCCATGCAATTTAAA